CCGATCCGGTCATGCCGAGGTGGACAGCAGCAGAGGCGGGCAGACAGACAGACTGACTGACTGACTGACTGACAGACTCTGTCGATGTCGGCAGAGGTGTTTCTTTGACTGATACATCACATAACGCCCCTTTCCCCCCGCTTTTATCCCTCTTTTCCCCCCACCCAACTTCCCCCCGTACCCTCTACCCCCCCCCCCCACATACACACACATACACACACACACCAGCTGCCAACAGTCCTCCGCGAGCGCCACCAGCTCAGTGGGGCTCTCCGGGGGCCAGGGGGGCCGCTCGCCCCGCACACACACCGCCTCGACAACCTCGTGGGGGGCCATACCCCGGTACGGACTCTCCTGTACGCCAGGTACGGCAGGGCATTTGACAGAGGTGCGCGGTGTTGACTTTGTTGACCGTGGTTGGTGGTGGGCGGGGGGGAGTTAGTAAACGTAATACCCATTATCCTCATCGTCATCGTCGGCACCATCTTTGTCCGTCTGTCACTATTCAAAGCAAAATCCGTTGCTCGTGTCATCCCCTTCATCTCCCCTTCTCCCCTCCCATACACACATACATACATACACACGCACCGCTGTGTATAGCTCCCACAGCACCACTCCGAAACTGAACACGTCGGTGGCCAAACTAAACACCGTGTCCTTCATGGCCTGCAGGGATGAGGGGAGACGGGGGGGAGGAGGGGGGGAAGGGGGGCATGAACGTTATCGGAGGAGTGTGTGGAAAAGGGGCAGTCAGGATGCGGGGGACGATTGACACCGCCGGAAGTGGGAATGTGCGCAAGCCTTACCCGGCGTGAAATTACCACACCAAACACATACACACACATCCATCCCTTCATCCCTCCATCCCTCGTGCGACGCTTTCCCCTTTCCATACATACATACACACATAGGCACACACACATACACACACCTCAGACGCCTCATTGCTGGCACCCCACCTCAAGTTGTGCAGAGGACTGCGCAGGGTGACATGACATGTGCTGTTACCCGGGCCCCCCCCCCCTTACCTCGGGTGGCATGTGTGACACCGTGCCGTGTATTCCCTGCCGTACTTGGTCCTCCCCCGGCGTCAGGACCATGGCCAGTCCAAAGTCCGCCACCTTCGCACAAAACCCGTGGGGGCGGTCCGAGCTGACATCCACCTTTTGAAGCAACACGTTCTCAGCCTGGGAGGGGGTGGAGGGGGTGGAGGGGGAAAGGGTGGGGGTGTGAGGGAGGGGTTTGAGGGAAGGGTTGTGGAGGGGAGTTGAGGAATTGAAGCCACAGCAGCTGAAAAGCGAGGTGGAGGAGGGATAGATCGAGGTGGCAATAACCCCGTTTCCCCACCATTCCCCTTCCCCTGGTTATTGCCCCCTTGGCACCCCCTTGTCCCATACATACATACATACATATACGTACGCACATATACGTACGCACATACACATATACACATACATACTACTCACCTTAAGGTCTGCATGTACGATTCTGAGCGCCGCCAGGTGTTTCATTCCGTTGGCGATATCGAGGGCTACGCGGTACAGGAGGGGGAGGGACTCCAGGGAGGGCGGGGAGCTGGTCCGGGGGGGGGGGGCGGAAGGGCCGGGGGGGTAACAGTTAGAGAAGGGGGGCCGGATGTCATGTCGGGGAGTAAGAGAGCAACATGGTAGAGGCGGCGTCAAATTGCCACAAAGCACATGCATAATACACATACAGATACACATACGGATGTGTGTATGTGGCGCTAAAGGAGCTTAGCCATAGTTTTTAGAGGTTTTTATTTGGTAACCTTATTTTGCCGGAATATTTTTTGTCGTAGTGATCTTATGGATATTCGCTGTGCAAGGGTTAAGCAAAGACACATACAGACACAGATACACATACAGATACAGATACAGATACACATACACGTACAGATACACATACAGATACACGCATAGCTCATGTGGGGCTCGGTGGGGCCACAACCCCCACTCCAACCACCATTCCAAACCCCGTGCCCTGCCCTTCAACCCCCACTTAACTACCCCATTTCCCCCCGCCTCAAAAACCCTTCCATCTCACCCCTAAATACACACAAACACACACGTTCCCCCCTCCTCACCCGCCCCAGGTCGCCAGTCCGTGTTTCCTGCGGCTCAAGGCGTCCTTCAACGTTCCCAGCTCACAAAACTCCTGAACCATCACCGTCATGAACCGCTGACGGGCTCCACGAGCACCACCACCACCGCCGCCGCCGCCACCGCCACCTCGGCCCAGCTTCGCTGCAAGCCGCCCCGGTTTAAGGTTGCCCGTACAGGCGTCGTACGTGAGTACGATGTTAGGGTGAAGCAGCATGCGGGACACACACGCCTCCACTCTTGCCAGCCGTCCTCGTTCCTTCTCCTTGCCCAGCAGACCGGTGCCGTGCTCGATCAGCTTCACCACCACCTGCGCCAGAGGGATGAGGGTGTACATGTAGGGGTCTGTGTGTGTAGGGGGGTGGGGGGGTGTATAGAGGTGTGTGTGTATGTGTAAATGAAGGTTTCAAGGTCCCAAGTATCCATCCTACCGCGCCTGACGACACTGGCCACAGGGGAGGGGCTGCTGGGGCCCAGCTGCTGCCCCAACAACGGCAAAAAGACCGCCTGACTGGGCAGCTCTCTGGAGTGGGGCGCGAGAGAGAGGGGCCCTCTGTCCTGCCCCCTCCTAAGCATAGCCGAGAGCCGCAGGTCCGCTAGCTCCCGCTCTCCTCCCACCCCCGCCGGGGGGGGATGGGAGGAGAGCGGGCGCGCGCACGCTCTCACGAGTCAAGGGGCTCCGTCACGCGAGCCTCTGCGTTCACTGAGCCTCACTGAAACACACAACAAGACTCCCCTCTCCCTCCCCGGGGCCTAATCCGGCCCTTGGCGTGAGGGTTCACTTCTAAGACACAGAGGAAACCCGGAACCCCGTACATACCCTAAACCCCTCCCCCCCCATTCATCATTCACGAGGCCCTAAAACATAAAGCTGTGTGTTTAAACGGCGGCTGAGCCGCGAGTCGCCACAGGGTTGCCGTCATGGACCGCAGTTCAGCATTGCCTTAAGACTTAGGGCCGAGCGGGAGGACAAGTAGCCGTCCGGCAGTGACAGCTGACTGACCCCCCTAGCTGATCTGTGTGTGATGGGTGTGCCGGGGGGAGAAGAGAGACGCCGCAGCGAGCGAGTGGAAATACAGCCGTCATATTATAATAAAATATTTATTACGTATATTACGTATGTTTGCTTGAACGCGTGAATATAGATATATCCACAACTTCCGTGCCGTACCTTTGTGTCGTACAGTCGACCGTAGTACACCATGCCCATGCTGCCGAAGCCCAACACGTTGTCGATGTTGACCTGCAAACACATAGAGACACACGCATACATACACACACATACATACATTCATACACGTCCCATCGTCTTCGCAACTTTTCCGACTAGTGCTGTGTGCTCCCAACCCTTGCGCTGTGTTTCGGCTTCAGCCCCCGGCTCTCGCGGCCCACAGTGTAATCTAAGTCATACACATGCGCAGAAATGACACGCATATATATACGGTAAATGCGGTGTAAAACATACATATTCAACATAAAACACACATACACACGGATATACATACGTACACACATCTGCTCAGTTCAACCCTACACACGTTTTCGTCTCAAAAAAAACACATTTGGACATGAACCTGCAGAAGGCGCTTCGCCCGCGCCGCCCGTCCGCCGTCGTCCTCCCTCCTTGTCTAATCGCCCCTCATCGCCACCCCCATTTCCCCCCCACACACACATACCCCCACCCACACCCCACACACACCTCTTCCAGCAGTACACCCCGATCGTCCTGCATCCGCCGGTTCGCCAACACCGCCTCCTCGACCGCCTGCTCAACACCATCACCGCCGGTCAGCGCCGCAGGCCCTGACAGCTTCGAGGGCTGCCGTACAGTGGACGGCGCAAATGCCTGCCGCACGCCGAGCGCGCCGCTGCCGCCGCTGAAAGGCCCGCCGCCGCCGCCGCCGCTGACCGCACCGCCGCCGCTGTTCAACCTCAGTACGACGCTGCGGCCGGCATTGGAGCCGCCGACGAGTACGGAAGGGCTCCTGGAGACGGCACTGGAGCGTTGACGCTCCAGGGCGTGCGCCGCCGCCACCGCCGCGGCAGTGCTGGCGGTGGCGGAGGCGGCGGAAATCAGGTCGTCGCCGGACTGCATCAGCAGCCCTGCCGCCGTCGCGCCCGCCTCCGTTTGGCTGCCCGTACTGTCGCACATGCTGAGGCCCCCGACCGTGTTGTTACTCGTCTGGCGACTTAGCGCTGACGTGGTTGAGTTGCGGCCAGCCATGACGGCGGCGGCGGCGACAAGGGACGACGTCGCGTCGGCGTTATTGTACGGCAAAAGCGGCATGGAGAGCCGCGCGGCGAGGACCGAGCGAGGAACAGGGCTACCGGCGGGCCCAGCGCCGCCACCGCCGGCAGCGGCAGCGGCGGCGGCTCCAGCTTGCGGCGCATTCAAGGACGACTGAGAGGAACCGCTTCCGCTGACCTTGGCGCCAGGGGCGACGCCGACGGCGGTGGCAGCGGCAGCGGTGTTCAGTACGGCAAGCAGCGCGGGCGACGGCGTGGCGTCGCCGTCATTCAGCGGATCTATCGGCCCGGATTGGCTTGGCGAGGGACTAGGCAACTGCGCTGCCAGCGCGGCGAGGTCAGACGCCGCCGGAGACGCCGCCTCCCAATGCCGCGTGTGGTGCTGCAGATTCTGAGTGGACAATGGCGCAGGATGAGCCGCCACCGCCGCCGCCGCCGCCACCGCCGCCACCGCCGCCGCCAGCGACTGCGTGCTGGGGACCCCAGGCGCAGCGCTCGGGGCTCCTGACGCGGCTGCGGCATCGCCAGTGGCTGTGCCTGGAGGCAAATGACCCACGGGTCTGTCTCGGGATCGCTCCCGAGTGCGTTCCAGCTCAGGCAGTACGGGGTCGGCCAGCGGCGGCACCGGCATGTCATCATCAACATCATCATCGCCGCCGCCGCCGCCACCGCCGCGACCGCTGCCTGAGCGGAATGCGGGTACGGCCGTCTGCGTCGTCACCGCCGCCATCGCCCCGTCAGGGTTGTCTGTAGAGCTTTGTGGATGCCCGGCTGCCACACGGAACGGTGACGGCGACGCTGGCGGTGACGGTGACGGCGAGGCATGGTCCGCCACAGCGTCTCCCGCCGCCGCGACGACGGCAGGGGCCTTCAGCATCGGCGGCAGCGGCTGCGGCGGTCGTACAATAGGCGCGGCAAACCGGAAGCTGGCTGTCTTGCCGGGTGCCCCCGCATGCGCAGGATCTTTCAGCCGCCGAAGGGTCGAGCCGCCTCCGCCGCCGCCTCCGCCTCCGCCGTCAACCCCACGGAAGCCACAAGGTTTCCCCGAAATCACAATCTTGTCCACAAGCACATCTAGGAGCTCCTCGTCAGAGTCCACGTCGCCAGCCCCGCCGCCGCCGCCAGCTCTGCTACCGCCGCCGCGGCTCCCGCCGCTGTAACGCCCGCCGCCGCCACGCCGGCTGCCGCCAGCCACGCTGCCGCCGCCGTCACCACGCCCGCTGCCGGTACCCCGCGCCAGGCTCAGCCGTTGAGACTCCCTAACGCCCAGCAAGCTCTCCACTGGGGCAGCGCCGGAGGCTGACGGAGGCCTTGAGCCGCCGCCGCCGCCGCCGCCGGCAGCACCGGCGCCGCCGCGGCCGCGGGAGCCGGCGGAGCCCAGCAGGCTTGGCGACAGGCTGGCGGCACCGTCAAGCGACATTACCGATGGCTCAAAATGGCTGGGAATGGAGTCGTCGCCGTCACGCAGCCATCTATCCACACCTCGTGAGGAGTCCGCCACCGAATCTGAGGAGCGGCGGTCTCGGCCGCTGCCATAGCGACGTGGCGATACGGCGCTGCCAGAGGCTACGCTGGGCCGTGAGGGCCGCATGCGCACGCTGGTAAACGACAGCTCCGAGACTGAACGCCAGGCTGTACGGCGGCGCGGCGGGCTGTCAGCGACTGCGAGATCATCGGCGATAACTTCGCCGCCAGTGGTGCTGCCGAATGCCGTACCGCCGGTAACGCCCCCAGCGGCAGCGCCTTCAGCCACCGCTTCCGCAAACGCGGCATCAAATGCGGCATCCGCCGCCGCCGCAGCGTCATCCTTCTCGACCGCAGCATCCCTCCGGGAGCCGCCGCTACTGCCGCCGTTACTGCCGCCGCCGTTACTGCCGCCGCCATAGCCACCGCTGTCTGACCTGCCGCGCGCCACCGTCACCACCACCACCGGCGGTGACGGCGGCGGCGACGGCGGCTGCTTTACCGCCGCGGCTCGCACGTCACCGCTCACGCTGC